TGGAACTTCTTTTCTATGTGTATCTGATGGAGTTTGCTTCATCTAAATCAGTGCTGTATGGAGAACCACATCCTGGTATCCATTCAGAAATGCTTAATTAGACTTAATTTAGATTATTTATTTAGATTTAGATTATAATTTAGATTATCAACATATTTTGCATCTTAAAGACGGAATACCCTACACCACTTTTAAAATATGAACACATTTTAAAACACTAAGCATAATGTGCCATCTTTCTAAATGGTTATAGGGAGAAACTGGGCATCATACAGGATACATTCAACGCATTCTCATCCTTTAGCGTCATATAGGTGACGCTATATGACAAAACGGCGCTATACTACACACATGGCACCCATTATCGTTAATATAACACGCGCTGTGATGGGTAGGTTTATGTGTGGGGTAGGGTAGGGTAGTCTCATATTACGCTAAAGGATTTATGACGCCTTGGGTTCGCGTGTTATATTAACGATAAAGGGTGCCATGTGCGCAGTATAGCGCCGTTTTGTCATATAGCGTTCTATGTGACGCTAAAGGATGAGAACATACAAGACAGAGGACCAAATGCTACCAGACTTGAAAATCTCTCTGAACACAAAAAACTCCGAAAAAAACAAAACAGAATGATCACAATTTAAAATTTTGAAGTGACTAGCGTCGACTCATCCAGACTGCAACTCTATGCAAAAGTTGTATTCCAGGCTTTTTCTATAAGAACCGTGACAAATAAAACAAAACTGAATCACATTACAAGCTATCACAATTTCATATTTTTGACCATATAAATAACAACTGCAGCAAATTGCATATTTTTGCTTAGTTTGGGTCTCTAATATACCGTTTTCCTTGTTGATCATAATTTAGAGGGCTTAGAAATGTGTGTATACAGTACTCTTTATCATTGAGTTAAACTAAAATTAAATACATCTTTTTAAATCAATCAATGGTTCAAGCTGACCTGAAATAGCCCTAGTTGATGCCACAGTTACAGACTGGCATGGAAAAATAATTGGGGTACATTTAAACTCTGACCTGAGTGAAGCCCATGATCATCCTGACTAAAGCCGAGATAGGTTTGTTAAGGATGCTCATACTTTCAAAAAACTTTGCGCACGATTCAGGAGACCTGACTGTGACATTCCTCACCTATCAGAAATGTCCTCAGCTTACACACAACAGCAGCCTTTGAAATCACACTTAAGACTCTCTTGAGTCTTCAATTTCCAGGAACAAATCCGCCAGATTTAGTTTGGAAAGATCATCTGGTGTGATGTCATCTGGTTTTACTTGAAAAGTGGAAGTTTGAAAGTCTAAAGGTGACCCGTTTAATGTCTCGTTTTCAATATTTCATTTCTTTTCAAGTCACTGCTATAAAAGGGCATGGAGATGGTCACTAAGAAGAACTGTCTTGGAAAGAACTTAGAGCACGCGGAAGTAAAAGGTGGACTTTCAAAAGTATTAAATGCAGAGTTGCATTTGATTGGTGCTTGCACAGCTGGTACATAGAACAAATAACCTTTAAAATTAGATAACCTTTAAAAGTGTCAAAAACAAACACTCTGCATATGCATGCACTGTTACACACAAACACCTTGCTGCCTGCAAGTCATCTGGGAGCACAAGAAGTCCTTGCTTTTTGATCCAGCAACTTTTTTTTCCCCTTACAGCCTCGCATTTATTTGGAAACAATTAATCATCCCCCGACTTCTCAAGTAAGTAGTTTATAAACTGCAAACTTCACCTCCATTTCTAGTGGAGCAGAGGCACCACCAAGAGGGGAGATATGTGAGGTACACAACTGACCTGCAGGAAATAGTAATGTAAAGCAGACTTTATATTCATCAAAATATGTTTAAAAACACTAAGAAATAAAAAGGAGAACTAGTAGGTATTAGTCCATTTTGTATAGGCTACCTACAATGTATGCAGATTTATTCATTTACATTGTAGTGTCTTTCTCTTCCAGCTTGTGATGTTTATCATTTGTTAACTATTATAAAATGGGATACAACCCATACTTTCTGTAAAAGAAATGTGTAAACAGATTCCAATTTTTGTTTATTTTTGATTGTGCGTGTTAAATAAAAATGAAGGCTGCTACTAGATAACATTCAAAAGGAAAAGGTTGAATCTCACCACAGCTGAAAGGTTTGTCACTGCTGCCAGCTTCTACTCTCTGAAGGTTTTCTGTTTTGTCATCTGAAGCTCACTTTCAGGCAGTTGTCCGTCCATCAAACACACCAAGGGGAAGGACGGCTGGTCAAATTGGAAAAGTGAAAAAAAAGACAAGTGAATGATAACAATCACAAAAAGTCCATTATCTGTCTATTGTGTAGCTGCAAAAAAAAAAATGTAAAAAAAAATTAAAAGAGCCATGAAAAGAGTTGAATTAAAAAGGAGTTTTCAAACTGCCAAGGACCCCACAATATGATGATTCTTTTGTGAGAGACTCCCTTCCCTTCCTTAATACATTCTTTTTATATTCAAATGTTACATATTTTTATTAGTATTATTATGTTTTGTCATTTGGCCTTACCTGCTATTATGTATAAACCTTTAGAATTCTATTATTATTATTTCTTACGGTTTAAAACCAGGGCTATTAATATAATTAAATAATGATGATTAATCTCACGATTCCTGACTAGTTTTTAGAAAGGAAAATTAAACATATGTCAATCGGAAAATGTTTAAAGAAAGTTTTGTTGACCAACTCCGGTGAACAATGAACCTTTGGTCTAATAAAACATAGGCGAACAATGAACATTTGGTCTAAACATTGGTACATAGTCAACCGTTCTCTGAGATTTGTTTTCATGATAATCGAATGTAAAGAGTTTTCTCTAAAAACTGTTTATATATATATATGGCTGTACTTATGTTGGACTTGGTTTATGGGTTTAAATATCAACTGTCACGGTTCTTGTCTTTAATAAAGCAGGTAGCATGCAGTCATGTGTTTGTAAATGGGCTCTGCAGAGACGATGTGATTAATGAGACAGTGTGCTCCTAATTAGGACAGTGATTTAGTCATTAATGAATGTGTGTTACAGCTGGAGAGCAGGAGGACTCTGGCTTGGTTCCTGTGTCACTTCTGTGTGTGGAGCAGAACAGGAGAGCAGCTGGCACATCATATAAGGTCCTAAGGTCGTTGATGCAGACACACACACACACACCCATGAATCTACATTTACATTTATGCATTTAGCTGAAGCTTTTAACCAGAGCAACTTACAATTGCTATATATGTCAGAGGTCACACACCTCTGGAGCAACTAGGGGTTAGGAGTCTTGCTCAGGGGCACATTGGTGTCTCACAGTGGATTCGAACCTGGGTCTCTCACACCAAAGGCATATGTCTTACTGCGCCATCACCACTCCAGTCCATTGTTATCAGTGAACTCTGAATTAATCTCTGAATTACACCAAACAGCATTGACATTTTTCAACCATTTGCTGGATAAAAAAAAGGCAAAAGCTGAGAGATCAACTGAATCTTAGTCGAAGCATTCTGCAATGTACTATGAATCATGTAATTTAATAATGTCTTACCTGAAGCATTTAGAGCAAACGGAAGACAGACAGCCAGGACTGCAAGCACAAGCCCTGTTTGATTGGTCATGGCGGCGGTGTTGTAACAATCCATAGAGAATAGAGATATTCTTTTTTTGTAGATTTATTTCTGGTGTTTTTGCCTTTATTGTGACCGGAGAGTTAGTTGACAGAAAGTGAAGTTGTAGAGAGAAGGGGGATGGGATCAGGAAAGGTCCACAAGCCAGGGCTCGAACTTGGGATGCCTGAAGAATGTTAATGTAAATGTTACACTTTCAGATAAGGAAAAAAAAAAAAATCACTGCAATCTGCTAAATGGATGGAGAAGCATAATTTACTATACGTCTTAGTTTTGCTTGTCTTGGCGAAAGCCGAGTACAAATCAGCATACATTTTTAACATCTACTCTTGTGTAATGGAAATCAACTCACCCTCAGGCCATCCAAGATGTACAGTATCTGACCTTTTTTCTTCAGTAGAACAGCAAAAAGATTTTTAGCTGAAACTGTGATCCTTGGTGATTTATATAATGCTTGGTCAATGGATAGCGTCACTTAGGGAGTCAAAAAATATTGGCAAAGCAAAATTAATACCAGTGGTGGCTCCGGACGATTGTAGTCTTATAAAGAGAAACGATCGGTTTGTGCGAGAAACTTAACATTATTTACAGCATTATTAAGCCTACCTGTAAGTAACTAATCCACAGCCTCGGCATACGGTCCTGAACGTTTATCATACCTGTATATCTGTTGTAGTATAACCGCCTTAGCCGCAACATTAACCAGCCTAGCTAGCTTAGGCTTATTGATCATTGAAAGGCCACTGTACCACACCACAATATAAAGTGTCAAGACTGATTGAATAAAACACTGATATAACTGATATAAGTCATCACAGTCCTACATACGCTGAATGTCTTCATCTTCCTCAAGAAGAAAAGTCTCTGTTGGGCCTTTTGGGCTACCAACTGTGTTGCTCTCAAAAGATAATTTGCGGTCAATGATGGTTTCTAAATATTTGTATTCGTCTACTGTCTCAACATTCAAGTTCTGAATAACAATTTGTGAGACATTGTGCTGTAATCTACGAAAATCGATTATCATATCCTTTGTCTTGGAGACATTAATAGACAGATAAAAGGTTTCACACCACGCGATAAAATCAACTACATCCTCATCATTATTTTGCAAATTGTACACAGTGCCTATTCTCATACTTACTCCTACAGTCACCTGTATATAAAATAAAAAGCAAAGGTGAAAGGACACTGCCCTGAGGAGAGCCTGTGGAGGTAAGGGCTTTTTCAGACAGTGTATCTATAATGTGATATACTACAATATGCTACAGCAGCTCAGTTTCACCATACATTAAGCTCAATAATATGAAATGATCCACCTTATCCAGTTCAGCCAGTCAAAATCTCTGAAGAAACACTAAAAAAATGAAAGTGTTGAACAGCCGATAGATATGGATGTCTTTTATTAACCCCAACATACATTTGTCAGTTAGAAAAGTATGAGATACACATTTCAAGTTACTTCCAAGTTTTCTCTTGTGCAAACACTAGATGGTGCCAGAGGTCATTTAAAACAATGTTTGAAAACAAAAAAAAAAACTTAATGCAGGACCAACTAAACAAAAAAAGAGCAATAATAATAATAATTATGTGCTTTTAAAAATTAAGTTGATTAATTTTTTGTCGAATTTCATGATTCCCAGCATCAAATAAACTGGATGTTGAGGCATAAACATCATACGTTTCTACAATTCAACAAAAATATAACCAATATTTACAATTATTGTATTAAAAATACAAAACAAAAAGACACACAAAAAAAGAACAAATACATACTCCACCAATTGTCTTTGTAAAAGACGTACAGGTAAAAGTAGTCAAAAAAAGAGTGAATCTTCACCAGCTAAATGTACACGTCTCACTTGACATCACAAATCGAACAGAGTAGCAGAACAGCTACCTACTACTATTTACCTTGTTTATTTATGCTTGTACAATTTGTGCAACTTATTTTGCAAAACAAGCGACTCATTTTGGCTTGCCAAAACGTGAATATTTACTAAAAAAAATAAAAAAATAAAAATAATAATTAAGTGGAAGCAGATGGTCGATATATTTACTGTTACAAATGTGTTGCTATTAACAACTGTATCCGCAACCATTACTAAAAAAAAAAAGAAAAGAAAAAAAAAGTGTGGGGGCAAAAAAAAATGAAAACAAACCAAACAAAATCTACAAACGAACAAACAGGCAACTAGAGAAAGAAACACTGAAGTAGTGATGTTACAGGATACAGTTGAAAACACTGCAAACTTCTTTTTCTTCTTCTCAAGTCTATTGTTTCTAACTACTGATCAATGTGATCAGTTTAACTCAGTGATTAAAATAAAAGAATGAAAGTGACGTGCTCCCACCGGTTCAGCTCTGCTCTGCTCTGGCTGGCAGGATTCGGGTGGGTTTGCGTGTTTCCGGCCCACCGGAGTCTCAAAAGCACGTTTCAGTTCAGCTCCTGTGAGTGATTGTGGAAGCTGTTTGTGCAGCGGTGGTGTTTAGATCAAGGCCCACTCCAGGAGAAACATGCACAACTTGAATCCTCAAAGAAAAACAACACCAAAAACACTGTTTTTCCACACACACCTCCTTAATGGCATCACTTAATGAGAGGAAGGAAGTAGCACCCGAATAGGATGACCCTATTTGCCTGAGTAGCCTTCAGTTCTCACCTTCACCAACAGGGGGCGCTTGAGACACAACTATGGAATTCTGCTTCAATTTCAGTTTTTAGAGATGCTGAACTGGTAAAACTGTAATATGAATGTGTACATTTCCTCTCCACCACTAAAAGCTTCCTGCAACTGAACTGGTTCACTTTTAAAAGGACTTTGGCGGCTGGATTACCCACAGATGTAGATTTGTTCAGTCAGAGCTTTTCATTCGTACTTTCTCGCTGCTTTAGAACCGATGAAACCACCCACTAAGGCTTAACTTAGAATCGTTTCCTCTCACAAAGCGCCATCCTTATTAAATTGGTGTGCTACGTTTGTCAATGATCAATGTGAACTCCATCATGATGTAGTCAGCCAGTAGAAGAGGTGTCCTTCAAGCTGTGCTCCAGCAAATATAATACTGCAATGCTAAACCACACAGATATGATGTGAACAGGTGGGGTGATAAGTTGTAGTCAAGCCTTTTTAGCCATCCAAACTGCATGTCCAGAATCAGGAGATTGAAACGCTGATGGTGTGCATCTGTTTACACCTTAAAAACAGTTTAAAAAAAGTGCTGAGGGGAACTACTAAACACGTTAGTGTGACCTTTAAGCAGAAGGAAAGAGTAAATTGTCTGAAGACAACCGTTAACAGTAGTTTGTTTCTTGTGTGTGAATGTCGAAAGCGCTGTGTTCGAGTTTCAGTTCAGTTCAATCTCCAAAGTGCCAAATAAGTTATTTTTTTTGCTCGCCTCCTTTCTTCACAGTATTTTTAGCATGCAGGGCATCAAACCCCCCATTGCATTAAGGCAGGGCAGGGAGAAGAATCCATCATTGAGGAGGGAGAGAGGCAGTGCCGGCAAGATGTAGACTGGATGGTCTGTCTGTCTGACCTGTGAAGGCCTGATATGGGCCATCAGTCAACGCAGCATCCGTATAAAACCCAGTGTCGTCCCCTTTCAAACAGCGGACACCTGTTCATCCTCTGGAGGGAGAAGAGAGAAAATCTGTGAGCATCAGAGACACAGTCTCTTACACATAGGCTCTGTTCCAAACCCAAGTGAACCGTTGTTGGTGACACACAATGTGATTTCTCATTATATCCACAGAGACTACCTTTGGTGTCGCATACTTTGCATTTCTTGCATTGCATTCGCAGGAAACGGATACAAATGCAGTTCTGTGCATGTTACCTTTGGAAGTATAAGCAAAGGTACAAGACTGGGAATAAAACTATTGTCTTCACCTGGAATTTGACATGGCAAAAAGTTACCACTAGAACACAAAAGGATCTTTGAAATGCTTAACGTGAGTGGCGACATATTAACAATCACTTATAAGTGACTCATCTAATCAACAATCTAAACTGTTAAATTAATGTATAACTATAATTTCTTTTCCAAGATTGTGTATATACTGTACTTCCAATACACACAATCTACACTCAATTCTAAATTAATAATCTATGATTTGCTTTCTGGGATTACCTTAGTCACCTACAAAGATTACATGTATAACTGCTTTTGATTTCGGTCAAAATGTAAGGCAGCATAATCTTTGATGACGTCTAAAAATGCTGTCTATACGAAACGCACTTTGGTTTGGAACAAATTCACAATGTGCTCTGGCATTACTATACCAAATACAAACATGACAGGACAGGAAATACTTATTTTAAAACAAACAAAAAAGGACTACTGTTGTGAAAATTAAAGGGGGGTTGATTGCGATTTCACTTTTTTCATTTTAAATAGTGTGTAATGTTGCTGTGCATGAACAGTATCTGCAAAGTTGCAGCGCTGAAAGTTCAGTGTAAGCAGATATATCGTCTTTTAAAAATCAGGAAGTGTAAACGCCTACAAAAACGACTCGATTGGGACTACAGCTGGGTTTTAGACGTCACTAACCCACACATTTGCATCAACCCTCCCTCCGGAATATGCAAAAAAGGGCATGCGCCTATTTCTGCTGCACGTTGAGTGTGTTGTGTTCACCCAGCTGTCAGGTTGTCTGTGTTCAGGCTTCCCACGGACGCTATACTTCCTCAACAATGGATACAATTTACGTTTGATTATGTTCCTGAAAATGACTATCGTAATCTAGCTCTCTGTGCTGCGCATTGTACGAAAGACAGCTTCCAGAATCTCCACGAGTTCAACACCGGATTCAACAAGAAACTGTTACTAAAACATGAAGCAGTTCCAACTTTAAAAGCAGAGGCAGCAGTTGTTGGACCACAACCTGTAAGTAGGCTAAGACTTAATCATTTTAAATGTATTTGCGTGTATAATTCCAGATGTAGCCTTGTGTTTTATTTTTTTCAAATGCCAGCGCTGGCTTCATAGCCACCAGGCTACTAGTTATGCAATTTTGTGTCTACGACAAACGCGTACAAACATTATGGACCTGAATTTTGTATAAGTACTAATGTTGTAAATGTATTTTTCATGTGCTTTATGACGTTATTTTCGATTTGATCAAGAACGTAAACTTGCCAACGCTGTTTGTGTTTAACATTAGTAGCCAATCAGTTGCTATTGTTGCCAGTCAGATGCTATTGTGTAAAACAAAAGTGTATAAAATGTAGCAAATTATCATTCAGAAAAGTAACGTTTAGTAAGAGCCGTGAGTGGTGAGTGAGGTTCTGTTTGACTCTCTTCATCGCGGCTTTCTCGGTCTGATTCTGCCTCAAACTGATACCGCAGTTCGACACATATTTACATCTGGACCGGAGCTCATGACATGCACGTTTCGCCCGTAAAGGTAATGAGCGTTAATCTTCCAGACAACGTGAGCGACAGTTTAGCCAATCACAACACACCAGCCCAAACTAACCAATCTGCGCCCACTGCCTGTTTCTGAGGGAGTGGTTTCATAGAATCAGGAAGTCAACCGCTCGTTCGAGGACAGAGAGCGCGGCTGACAATAAAGGTGAAGTTTATGAAAAATAAGACTTTTAAAAAAAGAAAAACCACGAATACATGTTATATTGCACCCCATAAATACAATCATGCAGAGAAAAAAAGCAGTCAACCCCCCCTTTAATAAAATGACATCTCACTTCAGGATCTTCGTGCTGATAAGTACTAACAAGATTTCATGTGCTACCTGACAACACAAACAAGACTTCAGGTTCTATCATGTGTTCAAGCGTTTATGATGGCAGGTCTAGTGATTTTCCTGTGAGCACTGATGGGTGAGCGGGGAGCAATGACTGGGATGTTGCCACGGCGACGGGGGGCAGGCTGTCTCCGTGGCGACGCATGCACTGTGTGAGATGCGTTGGTGGTTGGTGATGGTGGGCAGGTGAAGGAGCTGTCCTCCTGGCATGCAGAGACCGTGACTCGTGTGCGTAGAAGTGTGTGAGTGTGTGAGAGTGGAAGTAACTGGAGTTTGGGATGTTTTACCTTCCTGCTGGGGTGGTGTATGTAACTCATGGCCTGGGGGGAACTGCTGTGTGTGGACCTCTCCTCCTCTGAGCTCTGAGTTTGGGAGACAAGCACTCACCCTCCTCTTCCACCTCCTCTGCCTCCTCCTCTTCTCGGCCCCGGGGGTCCGGCGAGTGGATGGGTTTTCCCGCAGCCGGGGGCTGCTGGGAGTCGGGGGAATGCGTGACAAGACGGGAGCGCTGCAAGGCGGTGGTGTAGTCCGGGGGTCTCCTGCCTGAGTGAGCCGTGCCCTCGGTCACGTCTGTGATGGTCAGAGCCGTGTATCCCGGCGGCGTGGGCGGAGGGTCCCGGTAACGGCCGTCCTTCCGTGCTGGGGGGAGGAGACGGACACCACAGTTCCGTTTAATACCCGTAACGCTTCTCACACACGCGGATGGACACATGCAGACATGCACTAGATTCAGGAAGGATTGTTTTTGTAGGTGGTCTGTGTTGTTCCACCTTGGAGCGTTCGACATGACAATTAAGTCATTAAAGTGAGTTTGTGAATGCTTATTGTTCATATACTGTATTTCTCAAACTGTGAACTGTCATGTTTCATCTTCAGATGTATGTTTGATCATTGGGAATATGGTTTCAGCCTTTTCATGCAAAGATTACAACTTCAGCTTTTAAAGCATTGAAACACACATCACATAGGAAAGGATATAGAACTTGGTGTAGTTACTCTTAAAGCAATAGTTACCCAAAAATGAAAATCTTTCTCCCAACACATCTTTCAAGTCAAATATGGCACCACACATAAAGTTTGACATTAAATTTTAATATACAACCTGGCATGAAAGGCACCATATTTGATTTTCAGTTCATTGAAATATAAAAATCGTCTGTTCCCCACAGAACGTTATTGTATGGCTTCATACGGCTTAGACCTCAGGCCATATGGACTAATTTTATGGAAGATTTTTTTTTTGTCCATTGTGAAGCTAAACGTTACTGAATGGACAAAAAATGTGTAATGCTTCTCATGTTGCTTTCTATGAGAAAAAATAAGAGCATACGGCTTGAGGGTGAGTAAATTTTAAGATAACTGTCATTTTTGGGTGAACTATCCCTTTAAACCAGGTTCACGTGTCGATTCTTACTGATCACAGCCTTGGTGTTTCCCGCCGTGATGGGCGAAGGGCGTCTGCTGTGCTGCCGGGACTCTTCTGAACCGGTGGAGGTGATGCTGCTGGTCTCTGGGTCTGTGGTCACATCCCTCCCTCCTCTTCGCTTGATGGTACCTGTGTCGCCCTCAGAGTCCTCACCCCAACATGCCGCTGAGGACGAAGAAGAGCAGGCGGACGCCCAGCTCCCCCTGCTTCCCCACAGCCCAGCCCCCTCTGCCAACGCCTCCCAGCTACGCCCCTGTTGCATGGTCTGAATGTTGTCATGCGAGCCGCTGGAACATGAAGTCCAGCTGCCACGACCAGAATCAGCAGCGTCGAGAGACACCCGGTCACCCTGGTCCTGGGTAAGCTCCTCTGAGCTGGGGGAAGACAGCACGGTGGCACCGGCATACAGACCCCGGCAGTCCTGCATGGATGAGTAGGACCTGAAAAAAGAAAAGGGTTTTGTATAGTAATATTAATAATACATTGCCAGGTCATGATGGTCAACTTTGTCCATTAAGAGACTTGTCGATTAGTAAGGTTGATGACTTCAGTCCCAACCCTGCTCCAACACATTTAAAGGGATTATATGCAGTTTCTTTTAGCTTAACTGAACAGCTTCAGAGTTATTGAAATGGTTATATGACTTCTTTCGGGTTGAATGGTGGCCGTCTTCTCTGCTTGAAATTCAACCACTAATAAAAAATCGGTTTTGATGAGGAAAATAAATTACACAACTAGTAGGGATTAGAACCCAGAACCTCTGACACACTTGGCAAAACTTCTGCCACCGGATCATTAAAGTTCATGGGGATAGTTGTTGGATCTATGTATTTAATCTCATGAAAATTCTCACCAGTAACATATATTAGATCTCATTAAACGACAAATTAAACACAATGTACTATTGTATTAGGGTGACCATATTTTGATTACCAAAAACCAGGATACTCGGCCCAGCAAACACATGGGCCAACTCAAATGATACTCGAAGTTTACTCAAAGATACCTTATTAATTTCAATACATTTAAAGTCGGTTATCCCTCTTCTATATGGATAGGAAATTGTTATATTTTTATATGAAAACAGGACAGTTGGTCACCCTAATTGTATACTATGTAACACGTCATGTCACGCTCTGTGTGAGTGGTATTTACGACAGTAACGTTAAATTCAAGTACTCCACAGCGACTCTAGGGATCGCTTTTTGGCAAAAACAGGATTCCTGCATAGTGTCCCTTTAACTAGGGTTGAAGCAAAACTCTGCAACTGCGCAAGCCCTGATCTAGACCTCTTCTTTGATATTTTGATGTGGTATTGGTATTTCCAGTGAGCATAATAAAACCCTTTGGAAAAGTAATCCCTTTTAATACACATTCATATGGTCTACTCCATACGCTGATTTCACGTAGCAGCCATTTTGAAATGGCTCCGGTAGGAAGAAAACCAGAAGTGTTCCCTTTAATCATAAGAGAGTCGCAAACGCGATGGCGTATTGTTGTGTTTAATGTAGAAATTAGTTATTCTAAAAATGTACATACATTTCTTTCATACTTTACACTATATAAAGTGAAATTTAATTAAAAATATATATTTTTTTATTATATATAATTTAGAATGTAAAAAAAAAGAAGCAGGAACAAACTACATACATATCCTATACTGGATATTAACATCCAATATTGTAAATCGCGGCAGCAGCTTCAGGTTGGTAGTCCAAGGCATTGTTGTCTATCTGTACTTCCGGGATACTTCCCACCAGAGCCTTGCTTTCGATATCAAAATGGCGGCTGCATGAAATCAGCGTATTGCATTGGTTTCACTCTTTAAATCTTTTGGTTTACCCGCACTTTTAATACTATGCAGCATTTATTTATTTTTTATTTCAAGAACCATGTATCCATTCTACTGTGATCTGATAGCCTAGTTTTAAAAACAAGAACATGTCTATAAATACTGTAAATATTGTATGAGAAATTAGTCTGATTGGGGTCTGACCCAGGTTTCCTAAAGGCCGATTAACTAGTCATTCATGCAGCACACCAATTAGATGAGAAAGTAAAGAGAGTTGTTTACCCCAAGCTGTACTGATCAGGGTCAGCTGTGGCCCTGCGCTCTAGCCGGTGACCACTCACATGGCCCTCTACAGCTATTCCTGCATACCGCTGCCTGCGTTCATCTTGCCCCATGTCCAGGGAGGATGTGCTCACCAGACTGGAGCGTGAGGAGATCTCACTGTGGCCAGAGTCTGACAGGTAATCACCAGCTCGTCCATAACCTGGCGAATGAGTACACAGAACAAAATGATCAGGAAACAGTTTGGCCCTAATACAGACCCCTGTGGTACTCCAGTCTATAACTGCCTCTTTTCACTTTAATAGGTTTTGTTCCAAGCTCTAAAGATCAACCTTCCTGCAAACCATGTACAGGTGATTTGTAAAACTGATTATGAGTTTTATGTTAATGTTAAGTGTACAACTCTACAACAATAGCACACAAAAATATTGAGTATTACAATTTCAAACGACTTCCTAAAGAAAGAAGTATATTTATAACCCTTTTTTATTTTTGCTGTCAGAGGTGTGTCTTAAAAATGCTGTTAAACAAGAGTTACTGAAAATATATGACTTATTATGTCAGTGTTCACATAATATGGCTACACTGAATGGTTACAAAGTCATTAGTTGAAATAAGTAAAAAAACAACTGCAAAATAGAATTGAACCTTTCCCACAGAAGATACGACTTACAGCTTACAACATGGTGAAACTGATGATAATAATAGTGCAAGATAGAAGAAGTTATATTCAGGGTGTCAGAGAAGGTTCAACTCATAAAATGCACAACACAACAGGTACACAAGTACTGTAGATCTTTTATGTACTGAGACTATTCTACATTAAATAACTGTACAAAAACCCCATATAATTCTACACTACAGCCAGAGCAAAGCATTAGTGCCAAAACTCCCATTTCTTAACCTAGCTAATCAATAGATAGATAGATTGTTTTATTTAATGCCATGTCAGCATCTAAGGCTATTTTCCCTAGCTAATCAAAACCAGGCAGTTATTTCAGTAGCAGAGAAGCTTGGGCTCTACAGTACACACACACATACAGTTACAGCACTAGCCTTTTTCAGTCAGCTAGGAGCAAAAAAGAAAGATAGCAAGAAAGAAAGCAGCAAAAACATTGTCTAGACTTGGTGAGAGAGATCACTCAAAAGTCAGAATACACATATGATGATATTTCTGATATTTTTAAATGTATAAAATCTTTAGTTGTACAAACCTCCAACTGACACTGGACTATATAACACAATAAACACATTCATTTTTGACAATACTACTAAAAGTTTGGACACAAATGCTACTGATTATGCCAATCACACCACTGGATTATCTTAGGGAAAGTCTGAACTGAAAACAAAACATCTCATTGGCAGTGTATCAATACTAAGTGAGCTGCCAAACTAGACAACATTTTGGACAGGTTCTGAATCGTTTAAGTCAAACATACGAACACAACTGTTCAAAAGTCTGGGGTCAGTAAATGAAATGAGTACTTTTATTCATAAAGCCTTCAAATTGACAGTTAAGACATGCATAAATGTATGAAGATTTTTATTTTAAATCAATGCTGTTTTTTTTTTTTTTTTTACTTTCTATTCATCAAAAAATTCTGAATAAAATGGTTTCCATAAAAATATTGAGCAGCACATCATTATAAAAAATAAATGTTTCTAAATTGCAAAATTGATTTCTGAAGGATCATGTGGAATGAGGAATTAAGTAATGCCTGCTGAAAATTCAGCTTTGCAGTCAAAAGAAATAATATAACAATTGAAAACAGTTCTTTTATATATTTCAGCATTGGTGGTAAGAAAATTCTTTCAAAGCATTTAAAAAAAAAAAAATCTTACAGACACCAAACTTTTGAACAGCAGTGTATCTCTAATGAATGATGAGTTAAGTAGGCAGTTCACTACATTTTGAGACACTACAATAATGATGTTTGTGTGAACTCTCTCAGGCTAAATCTGCATCTAGGCCCTGTTACCTGTTGGTGATTTTCTACAGAAGGAGGCAAAACCCCTCATACCATGGCTTCTTATAGCAGTGATGGCTGAATATAGGGGCAAAACAGTTGAGTAATGAGAGACAGAAATGTTATGTGATACATATTCAAAAGGAAAGATGGAAAGTCGTGCATCTGTAACTCTGAAATCGAAGACAAGCAGTGTTCTTCCAAGATATTTTACAATAACAGCACTAGAACATATCAACCGTGGCATACTATAGTATGTGTGATCTCTTTTCCACAAGATGGCAGTATCAACATATTAAATAAGCTATGAAAACATGTTGGCACTAAGGGGCGCCAGATATCAGAGAAATAAACCGCCTGCCAGTGGTCAGGGAACATGCTGTCTTACAATATATTTCACTGCATGCCAACCACAGAGCTCTGATTCCACAGTTCACCAATAAGTCAATAGGGGAGAGTAAATTGAGTGTGCGAAACCAGAGGTTGGAAAAAACAACATATACCGAATGCCATAGTGTGTCTGACTCCATACCTTTCTTAGGTGAGCTGTGAGGAGATGTGGGAGGAGATGACAGCTGTGAGGAGTTGTTGGACACACTGTCCTCTGTCTGTTTCTTGTGTCTCTCTCCTGCCTCCTCTGAAAGGGACAGTATCTTCTTTAGAGACTGCGGTGAGCTTGTGCCTGTGCAAACACAATAAGACAGAGCCTTATGATAACCGTAAATATATATTGGAGGATCTGATTGCGTTCAAGTATAAAAATGATGTGGTCTTACCAAACGGCGGTAGGTCTTTGACCGGCACTTTCTTGCGAGATGGGTAGAGGGCAACGGCAGGCACTTGAAGCGCCTGGTTGGCTTTCTGAAGCTGCTGGCGCTGGTGGATGGCGGCCCGTGCGACCACGGGCGACGTGTCAGGTCTCTTCCGGTCCCCGGAACTCTTCGGCACTGAGAAATACAAATAATCTATTTGTATGTGATATTGAGGACATAACAACAACATACCGATGAATTCAAAGAATAACCCACTAATGTCCAAAATAACTACTAATGGTGAATGAATGGTGGAAGAATGTACTCTCTCACTATAGATACTTCTTACTGGCCATGAAAATGTATTTTGCATTATAATTTTATTTTGAAAAAATTGTACTTATGACCAACACGCTGTAGGGTATTCAGCATTTTAATGTGTGATAAAAATGTTCGTTGTGTGTTGTTCTTCACATGCTATTGTTTTTCTCCTATTGGTATTTGTGTGTGCGTGCTTGCACCCTACTCACATGTGTTGATTGAGGGCTCACACTGCATTGAAAGTGTCTGCAGGCTCTCTTCGTTTGTCTCCAGGGTGAGGTTGGAAAGGTATTGTTTGACCTTGCGTGCCATCTGTGCATCCTCGTACAGCTTCTTGGCATTGAGAAAGGAACTCCGTCTGACGCGCTTTTTGTGCCCGCCTGTCTGGGTTACATCCAGGACAGCCGCATTGGCACTGCCCTGGCTGAGTGACCTAAACACACACACACATTAGAGTTAAAGGTGCAGTCGGACTTTAATAGTGTGTAGCATGCTGATGCAGGATCAGATGCAGTCCCTCAGTCTTTTTGACATGCAGAAAGTTTCATTCCTTGCAGCTTTAGTACAACCCATGCATTTCACATCTCAGCCAATCAGGCAGTTAAAATGCGATGTTATATAAACGACAGAAGTATCGAACTAAAACTCATTTAGGAAAAAATCAATGATGAAATCCATTATTTTTGGTCAAATATATATTTTTAAATTTCTGAGCAAAAGCACTGAACCATTTTGAACCATTTCTTTTAAGCTTAAAGGATTTAACACGCTCAAAAAAGGTCTTATAAAAGGCAGGGTTTGCATCCAAACACAATCTTAGTTTAAACTAATAATTATATTTTAAATAATGACTAAAGAAAATAATTAAAAAGCAATTAATAAATAAAATAAAATAAAAACACAACACTGCAAATACTTAGTAAAAGGCGTGCAGCTATGGTAAGTAGTTTAGCTGGAAGGGGCACGTTAAATCACTTTTGCTAAAAATGGATCATGGGACATCAAATTATTAAATGAGCAGGAACCGAACAACTGTAAATAAATTCATGCATACTGGTGGGGGTCATGTTTGTGAAACATTCAAAATCTACGGTGGTAATACAACAGAAACATTAGGATGTCTTTTAGAATGAGGTGAGTTTATTCAATGACCCTGAGTAGCAAAAGTGATGGTGGTCAAATGCTTGGATGGGATCCGTCAGAGCAGAAGCATTCTCAAATGAACCAGAAAAAATAAATAAAAATAAAGGATGGTGAGGAGCCAGCCCAAATTAAAGGAGGGGGCACGCATGAGGCCAAAGGTGAGAGTTCACCATACTCACCCTAAACTCCTCCATTTCTTCTTCCTGTAAGGGAGAGCCATGAATAGTGAAGCGTGGGGCAGAGAGGGTGGACGAAGAGAGAAATGGGGAAGAGAGAAAGCCATTGAGAGAAAGAGAGGGAGACACACTTAGATGAGGAGAAACAGACCAAGGGTACCAAGGTGAGGTGCACCAGAGACCAAAAGAGAGACAATAACTTCTCTGACAATAATGCAGACAAAGAGTACCATACACAATGGTTTAACAACTCTCCTGTACGTAAACAACACAAACACTTCAAAAAACCTCAGTAAAACGCCTGTGCGTGGAAGCGTGAGGTGAGAGCCGTACACATCGCAGTGAGTGGGCACTAAAAGCTACTCAGTGGTGTGAAGAGTCCAGTCTGGAAGAAAGGCAAAGAAGTCATTGTAGCAGTCAAATCAAGAAGGCACTCACCTGGTTCTGAACATCAGAGCTGGGTCCATGTTTACAGCTGCCATCCGGCCTACGTGTCTGATTTCTTTAGCAATCATCCGCAGCTTCTCAAAGTTCACCAAACCGTCCACCTTCGAGTCATTTCCTAGAGTTAGCAACAAAGAAAGGGCTGATATCATGCATTTTCCCCTCAGGTAAACCAACGTATAATGTTGAAGAAACAAACTTTCAAGAAAATGCAGAGTTGAAGGTGCTTTTCATGGAATATCTGACACACAATCTCTTTATTTACTATTACTGACAAATTCTCAAAACCAAAACTAAGTGACGTTCAATAATAAATGATGTCATCACCTACATCAGTGAGAACTATCTTACCTTCATGCAGGAAGGTGAGATCCTTCTTGATTACAGGGAAGAGAGGGATAATGGGTGGCTGCAGGTTCTGGCTGTTAAGAAGGTTCCGGTACTTTGCCATATTCCTGGAGGGATCAAATAGGTCTTGAAGATCACTAAACAGCTTCTCATATTTACTGGGCAACTTCTCCCATGTGCCTCTCAGCCTGGACACCGGGGCCAAATTCAGACCACTGGAAAAGACGCACAACGCCATTGTTATTTGATACACCAAAAAGGGCCTTTAATTTACTGTAACCCTACATTTTCAAGACTCATTTTACCTGATAATGGCAAACATGGAGTTGAAGTTCTTGCACTCGCGGCAATGCAGTGCAATTTTAATGAAGTGCTTGATGATCTTCATGCGTTTGAGCTGGTTGGGCTCACGCACCACTTCCGTGGCCACCCAGAAGGTCTCCCGATTGATGGCTTCCTCAAAGAGCTTGAGGCTGGGGGGCCCGGTAAGGCGAGTTTTCAGCTTAAACAGGTCATCAATGTACTCGGTGGGCTCAATGGCACAGAACAACTCGAAGGCGCGCATGGACAGCTGGGTCGCCACTTCCACCGTGCTGAGCTGCAGCAAGCTGATATGGCTCTCCCGTAGCAGTTCCTGGGCATCTTCATCCGAGCACAGCGTCTCTGTCTCCATGTTGCTTTTCAGGTAGTACCTACAAGTGGAGAATAGGCCAATGAGAGGAGAGATCAACAGGTGTCTTAAGTGATTTTCCTCTGAAAAGGAAATAGTTCAGAAATTGAACAAAATGGCAGCACCTGCCACTCAGCTGGATCCTGTCGGCCAGTTTGGAGAGTTGTTCAGGAAGTCGCCGCTGCTTGATAACGCCCTCAGGAGTGACTGAAACCTCGCACAACGAATAGGCTTCAGCGGCAGCAGTCAAGGCAAACTCTCGAATGGCCTGAGCTACAACTTCTTTTGCTGTGGTGTCCTTCCCAATCATGATGTACCGACTTTGCTGGTCTGCCTTGAACACTCGCAATACCTGGTCTGACATGTCTAAAATAAATAAATTAATTAAAAAAACAGAGGAAAGGACTCCGGCCCACGCACTTATACATTTCAATAATCAAGACCAAAGTATCAAATCTTAATCTGGCTGGAAGTCCATTACTTATGTGTTCCCCACGATCATTTTACATTCCCAAATGACCATGTCACAGTAAGTCCGAATCCGAATCTATTGATCAATGTAATCAATTTATGCATTATCTCTACATGAACCACTAGCCCCACTGTGTTCAACCTTAACCCATCACCAGAAGCTTCTTGGTGCATAAGACACCTTCACACCAAGCAAACAAATCAACTTTCAATGTCAATCAATCCCATTTTGGAAGAATCAATTAACTTAAGAGTCAATTAACTTAAGAATTTCGATGAATCCCACCAAATGCAAAGTGTTCACAGATTAAGACCTGATTGATTTGCAACAAACAGTGCTACAAAGAACTTAATATAGCAAACTCAATGTTAAAATTAAGCAGATAATGCCCTGAAGATGATTGTGATTAGAAAAATGAGAGTAGTTAAGGAACCTAACCTCTGACGGGACAATATCAAATACTTACTTATAGGCACTGCTTCTGAAAGAGGACATTCAGGACAACATGAACATCTTATTAAATATGCATATATTGAGATTAAACTTCGGTAAATGTTCTGTAGATGCCCTGACAGAAAGTTCAAGTATATTTAAACTATCCTGGAATATCTTTATTTACTAACTCAAAGTCTGTTCTCTCTTAAAGAGGTTGTCTAACCTGGAAGTACAAATGAATATTGGCTAAATTCTATCCCTAGGGAAATGATTGTTGAATGTTGTTCACCACTTAAGCCCAACCTAATACCACAGCCTAACTAACTCTAATACCCATCACTAAGATCTGAGTGGGTAATAAGATTTTTTTTTCCCCAGAACCAAAAAGAATGTTGATACAATAACATATCCTACTTTGTGAAACCACATTAAGCATCTTACCAGGTTGGTTGTTGAAGTCGAGTATGCGATGGTGTGACTGCAGCAGGTCAGGGTTGCTTGATGAAAGGTTTCCACTGACAGGAAGAGCAGGAGGGATCTGCTTTGACTGCTTAAGCCCTACAATACTGTCATCCTGAGACTGTCCCACCCCAACGTCACTGTGAACAAACCAGAAGAGTTATAATCTGCAGTGAACCAAATCACGAAGAGAGCTTTCTTACATCAAGCTCATCTTACTTGTAAGGTTTGGGTGGAAGAATACTGGTCAGTGTCTTGTCGAAGATCTTCTTCAGCTTGTTTCTGCCACCTACGGTGTTGGCCTTGGCTTTTTTGCTAGCTTTCTCAAGACCCATGACCTGCTCAACATCCACAGCCAAGTCAGGGATGGAGTAACGACTGGCTTTCTTAATGTCCCCAATTTTAGGGATGTGAGGTGCCCCGTTTTTCCTGTCTGGCTCCTCCTCCTGTTCTTGCTCCTGGTCCTGGTCAGGCCTGGCCAGTAGCTCCTTAAACACTAAGAGTACAGGACACGGCACAAAGAAAGAGTTAGCAATGCCATCTGACATTTTCAAAGAGCAAATAGTATTTCAAAAGCAACTACATTTTCCCCTACTGCAAGAGGAGGGATGACTGGCAATTTTTAGAGGAAGCATTTTGTCTGTGCAGCTGTGGTAATTTTAGCCAGTGTAACTTACCTAAGAGATTGGTTTTCACAGTAATGGACAGGTGCGTGTTGTTTTTGAGAATCTCGTTGACTTTGGATAGCGGCACATTTTCAAAGTTTTGCCCATTTACCTCTAGTATCTGGGGAAAAAAAGATGGAAATCCAAGGTCTCAATCAATATTGCAGCTAAGCCAGTTGATAAATACATTTAAAACAATGCTCTGCCCACTTTTTAGCTTTTGAACATGCACACTTGTTGATTTTGTCATAGACACCTTTTTTTTTTTTTTTTTAAATGGTGACCATGGGTGTCTGTTTACAAGCTTCCCCGCCCCACCCCCAGTATTTGGTGTATGTCCCCTTGTTACCAATTATACAAAATAAATGTAAACTTATTCTATACAATATTTACTCAAATTACACTTAAAATCAAATTGTTTACCCATTTATCCAAAGCTGTTGACTGATCCAAGGGGGAAGTACCACGTCTTTTAATTGGCTAAGCGGACACGGTTATTGTCAATAATCTCAAAAAGGGCTATGTATCAGCTGATTAGAATTCAGAACAATCAACAATCCTTGTGTGGTTCGGAGGGCAAATAGATAGCAACTCATTAAACAGCTTTATGAGCCAAATACTGCACTGAGTGAAGGGCAAAAGAAACAGTGTGACATTCAATTCATCCGAAATCACATTTTCCGCTTGCGTGAAGACATTTAGACAACAGAACAAGTTAAGAGGCTGAAATGTATGTACTACTGTGTTTGAAAGTCAGACTAAATGGAAACAAAATCATTTGTGCTCTTTTTCTTTATGATTTATTAGTATGCTTTCAGTGCTTTAACTAACTCCGCTTTAACCTGGTGACAATGCCAATTAAAAATGCTCTCACACAATGTTTTCTACTTCCAGTCGCACAGCACGATTACTGCTGCTAATGCCACAGCAAGTTGCTATTACGGTGTCAATTTAACAACTATTTCTGTAGCCTACATCAGATCATGCATGGTGCTGGTGTGACATTACCTGATCTCCTCTTTTAAGGCCGGCCTCTGCAGCTTTGCTGCCTGACTCCACGCTGTCAATGAAAATGCGAAAGCCCTTCTCTGAACCCCCCAACAGGGTGAAGGCCAGGGGGGCTTCCCTCGAGGGTTTTGTCAGGGTCACCACCCGCAGTTTAGCTTTGGCAGCACATGCTATGTTTAACAGTCTTAGGTGCCCACACATTTTCTGGTTCAAAGAAAGGCATTACATGAGATTTTTGCAGTCAACTCAGGCACAAAGCTGAAGATCACAAATGAATTTAAGGTTTTATTGCACACAACTGACCTCTCTCTCCAGATTGTACTCGAACTCCTCAAGAAAATGTGTCATTGCGAGGTCACCCTCAAAGTCGTTGAAGTGATTGTTTACCCACAGCAAGACTACCCGTGTAACCTGACGAAATGTGAGGTTACCAAATCATACATCTCATCGAGAACTGATTGGTTTAAATCTTTGGACAAGTCTGTCTATGTACCTTGTCCCTGAGGCTGGGGTCATGGAACCACTCCAACAGTTTCTTGCCCACCACCATGGGGCTTGGCAGGAAGGTGCGGTAGGTAAGCAGGAAGTCCTCGATGTAGGTGGGGTCCACCACCGAGTGCTCTTCTACAAGGTGCATGGTAAGACGCTCTGGTGTGCCCTGTAAAAATCAAATATGCTCTTTAAATGGATGTCAAAGCAATGCATGTTTACTCTCTTATGTGAGGGTTAACCAGAAGAACTATGAGTCAGTATCATTGCTGTTGGCCAAAGTTTCCTCAGCTCCAATCAGTAAGATATTGGACTTGTAAAATATATTCGATATTCAGTCATATGCTTCTACTGTACTAAGCACATTTCCATGTTTAGGAATCAATAAAAGGCTATGTTCAATGCATCTGTGTAAATCAGGGCAAAAGCCATGTCAATCGGGAGTGCAAGTCAACGTTTCCTATTGTTTTTGAAGCCTGGCAACTCGTTATCTCATTGGGATCAATTCAGTTTAAAAACTCACAACTGGACTAAAATGAATTTCTCTTTACCGAAGTGCCACAAAATAGAGGTGCAGGAAACACTGGTGAAAGTATCCGTTCTGGCAATATGATTTATGGAACAATTACAATAGTCTTGTTAGGAAAGCCTTTTTTGTCACTTCAGCTACATTTCTGAACATTTCTTTACCTCTGGGTGTGAAAGCTTGTCACATTTGTTCCGAATTGGGATCTCACCTTGATGACAATGTGCCCTTTTCTGGTGCCTGTGCGGTCAAGCTCACGGTGTTCCTTCACCATCACAATCTCACCCTCCTCTTCCACCTTCTGCATATTTTTCTCAACTTGGTTAAGGATACAGCAGTAATCTTGCTGTGCTATGCAAACAAACTGACAGAGAAACCATGAGTGAGCAAGACGACACAAACTGTGAGGGGAAAGTAAATCAGTTTTATGATGCAGCAGCAGTATACTCAAAATGATTTCCCCATGATAATTATACCAGTGCGCTGAAACGGAGACAAGATTTCATTATTGCACATTTTTCACTAATCACCCCCATTATTCTCATGCTTAATGAATGGGCAGAGCCTCATCATTTCTGCAGTAAATGAGTCATTACAAAACAGCTAAAATAGGTTGGGTGGGGATAAGAGACATTTTTCTTGTTTTTGTTTTTTATCCACAAAAAATGTGTAAATCCATTAAGTATTGTTTGACTCACCTGGCAGTCATCCACCTTGGTCTTCATCACCCCCTTCATGTACTCTTTCTCCATAGTGGGGGACACACCGAAGCTGTTGCCCATGCACAGGATTTCCGTCCGGCCATCTGGGTGCGTCACCTCCACTGAGCCGTTCAGAATCACAGACCATGAGTCCAGCTACAACAAAGGAACGATGAAAAGATATCAGTTAGACACAAATATTTTTAATGTTATATTACAAATTAAAGGTCCCATATTATACACCTTTCTGAAGTTTTAATTTAGGTTTTGAAGTCCTTAAGAATATATATTTGCGGTATAAGTACCAAAAACTTAGAGCTCCTTTTACAGAAGCTCTGCCATTTAATATTCATGAGCCTCTCTTCTGATTGGCCTGTTGTTTTCTGAGTGACGCTCAGCCAGGCCAACCACAGGTAACTAGGCTCATGTATGCTGGAGCCTGCTGTGGCTTGGTGATGCTCACAAGTAAGGTAAATAATAAAATAAAAACACCTGTAATGATGAACATTGCCTTATATGTTTGAGCCGGACTCAGACCCCGAATCGGTGATGACAGGAGACAATTCAACTTTCATTATAATTACCGTTACATCAATGCTGCACGCAGATTTAACATTAGCTAATTTATACTGAAAACAAACTCACACTTTTTTTGTCACATTTGATTCAAATCTCCAAAATATGTACACTAATAGATATTTATACACTGATTTTAAAACACTTAAAGGGCTTAAAACACAGTGGCTTAAACCTAAGTTTATCAAGCGACGAGAACACTTTTTGTGCGCAAAAAAAACAAAACACCTTTAACTGCTTTATAATATGTAACGTTAGCAGTGCTATAAACCTTTGTGGTAAAATACAAAACTTGTGCACATGGACTTGAATATTTTTTTTCAGCATATATAACACCAAAAAACTTGTCATCACAGTGAACTATATGAGCTTCAAGCTCTATCCTGCTTTCAATTATGTGGAAGCATTAGGGGAGAAAATGGATCTTTTTGGCATGTCAATACTGGGATAAGTGATTCCCGCAGTACCCCGGGCATCTTGTAATCTCAAGATGCTGAATGCTGGCATCCATTGAGGTTTAACAGTGCAGAAGGTGAATGGCTGATTGGATGTGACGAAAGGGGGGTGGCAGTACATGTAGGCTGTTAAACAGAATCAGCACAAGACTGAAGTGAAAGCTGATGAAATATTAAAGGTGAATGACATTTTTTTTACAGGATTAGGGTTAAAGAAAGAACTAAAAGAACTAGTTCTTTTGAAAGAACTACTCACAGTTGTGTCACTGTGAAAAGCTAGGTTAATAGCTGTCATTGTAGGAAAAATGCTGGGTACTATGAACTATACATACTAGGCCACACATACAGGTTAAAGGTTAAACTGTGGCTTCAAGTAAGCTCAGAAAAGCTAATGCCATGTCAAGGTAAGTCTGACCGACCTCTTCGCCATCATTAAGGACGACTGTACCGGCCCGTTCCACCACAGCAAACACCATGACAGCACAAAGCTCCCTCCTGACGGACATGGTCATGTTGGCAAAGGCCGGTAGCTGGTGCATGAACTCCAACAGTTGCTCTGAAGAAACAGAGTGAGAAAAAAGTAGTCAAAGATACATTTAAGACTAAGTGAGATACATGAGTCTTTGAAAGTCTCTCATTGTTATTTGTTCTCTCTATAAGATGCAGTTTGTTCTTCTCAGATGGAGAACGGAAAACATTCTTTCCACTGATATAAAAATAACAGCAACCAAGCAATGAATGCATTATTAATACGAAGCTATTTCTGACAATCGGCTAATCCTGCTGTGCAATATACAGGACATATTATACATGACAAAATCCATTTCCACCGTGACAGAGTACTAAACAAAATATTTTTTTTCAACTACAGACACTTCCAAGGGGTTGATTTTTAATAAATATTTAGTTTTATTATTATTATGAATGTCAAAATAAAGCTGTCTTAAACTTTGAAAGTTTTTAACAAAATAGCATTGATTTTTAAAAACTGCAGTATAATAAACCATTTAAATATTTAGTGCATGGAAACAATTTCTTTAATTATCAATTTTTAGGCATATTACCACTGTACCTCATATGCAGTCATTTCCGTTACAGTTTTATCAAAAGTGGATCTAGTTGATAACAGTGTCAGTGAAAAGCTCAAAATAAAATTTAGGACATGCAATGTGAAAACAAAACAAATACATTTTAAGACAATTAAGTGTGTATTAAGAAAAAAATGGAGCTAGCCATTTTAAATACATTATATATTTACTAATTAAATATATTACAAATATTTAATGTTATTAAATACAACACTGTGACACTGCGATGAAAATAATAGTGAACATTTTCCTGTAATGAATATATAAAGTATACACTGATCAACATTGTTAGAGGACATTTTAAATCAGTTAGTGAGAATGTGAAATGTGTGTTTAATAGTCTTACAGTGCCAAAAGTACTTAGTGAAATATGCATTTCCATATTTTTGGCAAGACTGTCTGTCTCATTTTGACAGCCAAGCCTAGTCTATCCAGTATGTTTGTCATTTTGCTGCACAGAACATGGTACATTAAACCTCTCTCATCCATCCATTCATTCATTCATTCCGACATGATCATTATTTTACAATCAATATGAACGACTGGAACTGACCAGCAATATAACAGTTTTTCTACAGTAAGTTAAATGTTATTCTTTCCATGCTTGACAGACCAACTAAATCAAGTATTTGGTTTTAGCTAGTGTGACAAGGGGTTGCCCAAAAGCCCAGAGAAATTCAATTAAGATCAAGAAGAGTAAAGACAAGAGATTTTGGATTTTGCTCATGGCCTGTCTGAGTACTCGCTGACCTGTGCCTGGCACGGCACCACTGAAGCGTAGCTGTGGAAGCAGCTAAGCCAATCAAATTTTAATGCCCTCTGAGAGACTCGACTGAGAGGGTGACCTACAAAAAAACAACACGTCTCCCCCACATGCTTTTCTTTTGTAGTATCCTCGACCTTGTTGCCTTCTTTTCCTGGCAAATCATTTCATTGCTTTCGAGAATCTCCACTTTCTTCCTCCTGCAAATTTCTAATGCTATTCAGGGATATTTGGGAATCGCTCACCTATGTCATCATCCGTTCGGTCCATGGGGTCTTTTTCCAGACAGTCCCGGACGATATCTCGACTCATGAGGGGATCTGAGGCCCGTTCAATATCTTCCTCATCGTCATCCTCCTCGGAGTCAACGGCCGTCTCGGGCAGGCCACTGAGGTCCATGTCGCCGGGCTCACTCTCGGTGGCCTATGAGTCAGTCAAAACTTCAGTCAGTCAAAAATGTTTCTGCAAAATTAATATATTTATCCTGAACCCTAAAACTGATAACTGACCTAACATCAGATTTAAAAAAAAAAAAAAGTATATACATTTATTTAAAGCACAGACCCGCCCAAAAAAGAGATTAAAAGCTCAAGAAAACCAATTCAGAAAACTCAAACGCAGAAACTAGAGACAAAAAAATTAAAAAATCTAAGGTGGAAACAAACAAACCAAATAATCAAGCACAGGTAACAACAGCAATGTTTTCTAAATAATACAAACACAGAGATAGATGTTTGAGAAAATACAACCTAATACTTCCCCAGCACATGGCCTAACCTTAGAAGGTCGGCAACAAAAGAAAGACTCATCCCTTCATGTACGCCACAATCTCCTGTCGAAACCAACCCTGATTCTCTCACCTGACCGAGGAGCCCCAGCGACGCTATATTCCTCCCTGTAACTGCCCAAAACGTCGCCTTCACCAACTGCTTGTAGATGCCGGGTCCCAGCCGCATTTTTAGAGCACAGGCTTCCAGCCACATTTAATTTTTTAAACCTCTCGATCTGGGCTCACACAAACGCATGTCATTTAGACTTAAATGACCTGCATTACTCATCAAATATTCAGACGGTGCCGAAAGCAGCCACTCAGAGGGCGACTGGGGCGGGGTGTTGTGAGGCTGGGCTCTTCTTTAGGGTGGAGACAGGAGAGTGGGGGAGGATGGGGGTGATAGGTGGCAAAATGCACTAATATATAAAAAAGAGAGGGCTACCTATCACATTGCGTCCCTTTTAACACAACTTGTGGGAATAGATCACCTAAAAATAATAATTCTGTCATCATTTATTCACCCTCATGGTGTTCCAAACCTGTATGACTATCTTTATTCCCCAGAACACAAAAGGAGAAACACCTAAGAGTGTTTTCCATGTGATTACAATAAATGTGGACTGAAGCTTTTTAAGTATTTTAAGCAAAGCACCATAACAATATCATACAAAAAAAAAAAAAAAAAAAAAAAAAACTTGTGCACAGTTTCAGGTTTAAAAACAAAACCTGAACCTGAGAAACTGACCACAATTTAAGTTTTTTTTATTATTATTAAAAAATCTTGACATCTGTTCATAAGAGAGGTGGTAATCTCCTCTTCTTAAGCAAATGATTTTTCTCAATCAGATTTTTTTTTTTAATGAATCATATTCCTTTCCATACTGGACTGATATGGTTTACAAGTACAAATTAATGATCTGACTCAATGATGATCTGGTCACAGCAGTTAACAGCTCACAAGTGGTCATTATCAACTAAAATAATAACTTAAATTTCAATCTGTTCCTGAAAAAAAAAAAAAAAATACTGTATGGCCTCAAAGTTGCTCAGGTCATAGAAACCAATTTTATGGTTGTTTACATCCTTTTTTGAAGCTTAATGGCTTAATGTAATTGAATAAAGATATTTTCTCCTTGTGTGTTCAATGTAACAAGGTCATACAGATATGGAATGACATGATGTCGGCAAGTAAACGAATACAGGGAGAACTGTTTCTTTAAGGTCCTCATGAAAACCTCCATGAGCTAAGAGATGCTCGAAAACTCAGTGGCACACATTTATCCAGGGTCTCAGACTGGAGTTAAAACACGATCACAGATCTATGAATGAGCCGTATTTACAAAGTACAATGACAGACAATCTCAAACGCTATACCCATCAATTCGCAGGAAACCCCAGTAATTCCCTACTCTCGACTGTGAATTAAATATGCATTCTCAGGGCAGTTGGCTACTGGTGCATGGCGACTGGATATCTGTGCTTAAACGACAACAATCTTGTTGAAGAGAGGTATCAATGCCTGTTGATTAATGTGGTTTCAAGATCTTAAAATCAATACACTAAGCAGTCACCCATTAACTGAACCTTGTGGATTTACATTACATCACATCTTCATCCAGACACGGTTAGGTTGATGACTCGCTTCAGCTCATTAAGCCTTAAAGAAACCGAACGCACTCAAGTCACAAACCAGCTACGCCACGTCAGGGTCGTCCAATCAGGTTCTCTCCTGTACTTTGAGGAGATGCAAATCAAACACCACCACTAATGCAGGCTGAGCAGGGGTCGAGCTGGATTCTCTTATGAAAGCCGTTTAAAAGCTAATCAGAAAAGACAAACATAGGGGCTGATAATACGTTGTAGCCGATGAAAGTACCAATTTATCTTTCAAACTGCCAAGTCTGGTGTGATCCATAGCTCTGTTTGGGCAGCTAAGATGAGCGTGAAGGGAACATTCATTTTTTAGTAGGGCTATTCTTGGATCAATGCTTTCAAGCCTCCCTGAAGAACCTGCATCATTATTTATTCAAATGTGCAAAAAAAAGTGACCGTTTTGACAGTCACATTGAGGATATGGGCCAATAATCTTGACAATAGAGACCTGAAGTACTGTATGATATCTGCAGCCCAAAAGTCTCACCACTAGTAAAAATGCTTCTATTTTGTATTATTTTATATGTTTTGATTAAAATAATTCATTTTAAATTGAGGTAAATGTTAAATTAGAAAATAAGCATTAATTTCAAAAAGTGAGACTGAATTATTTAATTCTTCTTATTTTTTTAAAGATTAAATTATACACTATCATTCAAAACCTTCGGGTTAGGAGGATTTAAAAAAACATAAATGAATACTTTTATTCAGGGAGGATGCATTAAATTGATCAAAAGTGAATGTAAAGACATTCATGATGTTACAATAGATTTCTCTTTCCAATAAATGTTCTTTTGAACTCAAAGCATTCTGATAAGCTTCACGGTTTCCACAAAAATATTAAGTATTTAATATTTAAATATTATAATATTAAAATATTAATATTAAAATATTAATATTAATTTTATAAAATAATAATTAATATTAATGTTTAAAATAATTACTACTTAATATTAAAATATTAAGCAGTAATTTAATAATTTTTTTTCTTATTTTTTACTTAAAAAAGAAAAAAAAAATTAATAATATTTTTTTCATTATAATATTTTATTATATTAAAACAGAAAACAGTTATATTATTTTGTAGTCATGTTTAACAGTATTACTGTTTTTAGTGTATTTTTGATGAAACGCATTTTTTAATAAATCGTACCGACGTCAAATTGTTTTAATTTCAAACTTTTGCAACATACTGTACCTACAGTACAACAGAAAAACATTGTGTTAGATTTGAAAAAAAAAATCTACTCATAATTACTTGCTCTGTTAAAGCACTTCAACAGGCTTATTGACAGATTGTACACCATGGGTTGGTACAGAGTCAGAGGTCAATGAAAGGCTAGTTATGTTCAATTTAAGTTTTATGAGACGGCAACATTTTCTTTCACCCAGTGTTCAAAAACTACAAAACAAACACTAACTGTAACTAATTCAGATTTCAAATTAAGCGATAAATCACAAGAGCCTGTGCAGTTTTGCCACGGGTATGTGATGCTCTCAGGCATAATACATAACCTTTTGGGGTTTATTGCTTTTGTAAAATGGCAATATGATAAAAGACCATGATGTGCAATAAATTATAAAAATAATTCATTATAATTAACAATTTTTACATTAAGTAATAGCCTATAGTGATACACAGCAATTAATTAGCTGTTTATGATTGCCCGGCAAACACATGAATAAAAGAAATGTCCAATTAGCTTCAGGCGCTACTCATCCAATCAGAATATAGAGATGAGACAATCCATTTTATATTGACAAAATTTCATTCAGCCTGCTGCTGTTTTATGAGACGTGGACCACAAGGAGAGGTGAGGAGCATTGTAGTAAAGTGTGGTGTAGAGCAGGGAGATCACAACATCTTTTCACGAGGACATGGTCCAGCTGTTAATGAGCCTTTAACAGATGGCCATCAGGCCAGGATCAAGGACACTGAATTATTTCCCATACACCTTTGCACACAGGCCGCCGCAAAACATCCGCAAACACATCACGCAAGGAAATCAATTAAACAGCCAAGCAAATACCAAGCCAAACACAATTAATACGATTAATGGAGGAAAACAGACATTTTAAAGACCGACACAAATATGTAAAAGGTAAATGGGGTTCTTGTGTTTTAATCTCATTGGCTCAGTTTCACAGGTCATTGCCTCAGGTTTTGGAATAGTGACAAATGTTTAGTGACAAAATGTTTAATAACAGGGGACATGCATACTGATAAAATATGTACCTTGAATACACTGTAAGACGATTTGGATAAAAGCATCTGCCAAATGAATAAAATGTAAATGAACGAAATTACAAAAGACGGATAAAAATTGCATGCACATTAAAGAAATAGTTAAAAATTGTTCAAATGTTTGGAATCGGTATGATTTTTAAAAAAATGTTTTTAAAAGAAGTATCTTATGCTCACCAAGTCTGCATATATTTAAATCCAAAATACAGTTAAAACTGTAATATTGTGAAATATTATTCCCATTTAAAATAGCTTTTCTATTTTAATATATTTTTAAAATGTGATTTATTCCTGTGATGACAAAGCTGACATTATGCATCACATCCTTTAAAAACATTCTAATATACTGATTAGGAGCTCAAGAAACATTTATTATTATTATAAATATTGAAAGCTATTGTGTAAAGTTTTTTCAGGATTCTTTGATGAATTCTTATTTAAAACAGAAAGCCATTGTTACATTATTAAATTCTTAGCTAGATACTTTTGATTAATGCATTCTTGCTGAATAAAAGTATTAATTTGAAGTTTTTAAAAAAATTCTTACTGACACAAAACTTTTGAACAGTAGTAAAACAAACACAATATACAAAAGCTTTTTATTATTTCAGATAAATGCTGTTCTTTTGAAATTTCCATTTATCAAAGAATCCTGAGAAACTTTGAGCAATTATATCTCACAATATTACTTTTTACTGTATTTTTGATCAAATAAATGCCTTGGAGACCATAAGAGAACTCGCTCAAAATATCCAAAAAAAATTCTCCTTTCGGATGACACGGAACAACATGAGAGCCAAGAAATGTTTTATTTGTTGGAAAACTATTTAATTTAAAGGAGTAGTTCACTTTTAAAAAGAAAACTTTTGCTGATAATTTACTCACCCCCATGTCATCCAAGATATCCATGTCATTCTTTCTTCTCAAAGAGAAATTAAGGTTTTTGATGAAAACATTCCAGGATTTTTCTCCATATAATGCACTTCACTGGTAACCAAACAGTTCAAGGTCTAAAAAAATAGTTTCAGTGCAAACTGCAAACTGTTCAAAGGGCTTTAAACGATTCCAGACGATGAATAAGGGTCTTATCAAGCGAAACGATCGCTCATTTAAAAAAAAAAAAAAAACAAGAAAACAAAATTTTATAAGCTCAAATGGTCGCCTTATTCTGTGTTCATTCAACGAACGAAATGAACGAATTGACTCGGAAAAAGATTCGTTCGTTTTGATGAACGAGTTCGAACAGGAGAGTCACACAGAACAGAGCAAGGTGATCATTTGAGCTTATAAAACTTTTTTTTTTTTAAATGAGTGATCGTTTCGCTTGATAAGACCCTTATTCATCGTCTAGAATCGTTTAAAGCCCTTTGAACAGTTTGTAGTTTGTACTGAAACTATCTTTTGGACCTTGAACCGTTTGGTTCCCAGTAAAGTGCATTATATGGAGGAAATCCTGGAATGTTTTCATCAAAAACCTTAATTTCTTTTCGACTGAAGAAAGAAAGACATGGATATCTTGGATAACATGGGGGTGAATAAATTATCAGCAAAAGTTTTTTTAAAACTAATCCTGCATTAGTCACTGAGGAAGAATAAACCAGTAAAAATTGTCGACTGCTGTCAGTTCAGAACTTGAAGTGTATGTCCCATTTTGATGGCATTTGTCACAAAGCTGCTACTCCAACGTTCCCCAAAGATAAGGTGTCTAGCAAGGAATGGCGTTGTCACCTGGTAAATGTCCGACAGGCTGCTGCTCCCAGAATCACTGGTGATGCTACATCCTGAGTGGCTGGAGGAAACGTGTGTCACCTGCGGGTGAATCCCGTCCGCCAGGTGTAATCTGCTGAAGTCTGCCGGCAGCTGCACATGGAAACAAACAGAGTGTCAGGACGAACAACTGACTGACCATAAGTCCATAATCCAACATCCTGCAATGCATCTAATAACCATGACAACCAAGCCAATCTGTTCATTGACATTTATCCAACATTTCCCTGTATATGACCTCAAAGCGAATAGATATAGACTTAAAAGCGACAAAGTTCTGATCTTGATTAGCTTGGACTTTTAAAAATGTCAAAGATAGCAGTGTGGAACTTTTTGCTAAAGTTCAAAGTAATGTCAGTTTTGTGGAAAGCTGCAGTGCGCTATGCTATCATTTATTCATCACACCTACAGTCTGATGTTTCTGATATGACTTCTCAAGGATTTTTGGTGACACTAAGCCTCGGACACATTTACTGTTTTATTCGAGCTGAAACAAGACGGGACAATATATTAAACAGGGGCAAGTTTCCCCTCAACAGCATCCATATAGTTCTGCCAAATGCAACAAAATGTCAGTAAGGTCAGTTACATTTAATGTGGGGGTTTGCTAGTTTGATTTAACAGAATAGCACAGCTCCTTTGCTAATGCTAATGGTTGTTGACAAGCGGTTTTGCACACAAAACTATTCTATTACCTCAAAAGACTTGGAATATTCAGTGCCTAAGCCATATGCACAACTAAAGACTTATATTTTCCACAACCATGCATTTTTTCCACGAGTCTGCAATTAAGCCTGCATATACATTGATTCCCTGAAGCCAAATTTGGACTGAAGCTGTAGAGAAAATTATATTTCTAATGCAAGCCTTGGCATTGGAGTAAATGAAAATTAATGAAAAAAAAGACGCTTTATAGTTGAAGACTAAAAGATGCATGTGGCATGATTTTTCCTCAGGTTCAGTGTGAGCGAGCAGCTCTTTTGTACATATTTGAAGGGGTGCGGACGGTTGCAAGAGCGAAGTGTGTGTGTGGGGGGCTCTGACAACAACACTGAGATAAGGAGCTAAGAACCAATTCCAGCTAATATTAGAGAGCACACATCCCACACACACACACACACACGGCCACATTCCGATAAAGCTCATTCAATCGGCTCCCGATTGTGTCTGTGTGTGTGCTCGTGTGTGTATGTGTGTTCACCAGTGAAATTGCTTTTTTTGGGGGGCTATTGGATGTCTTCAGCCAGCTGTGGCTGAGTATAGCTTTCATACAAAATGCATCTGACCTAATTTCCACTCCCATAATCATATACATGCCGGAAATGCAGCCAATTCTCCCGGGAGACGGAGAGCTTGAACAGAGAGAAACCAACCTTATAGATGGAGTAGAAGCAGATAAGGAAAATGATATATTTGCACAGTATCTGCAGTGATACAGCTGCTGTAACAGAGTGGGAAAGGAAATAGATGGCCTGCTGTTTGTTGTGCTGTGAGGCTAAAGGTGTTTTAACACACTAATTTGTTGATGAATATTCCTCCTCATATGCACAAATTCATTATTTGAATCTATTGCCATGGCAGTTCATTCATATTAATTGAGGCTATTTACACCTAAAAGCGGAGAGACAAGAAAGAAAGAAAGAAAGAAAGAAAGAAAGAAAGAAAGAAAGAAAGAAAGAAAGAAAGAAAGAAAGAAAGAAAGAAAGAAAGAAAGAAAGAAAGAAATGTGGGACAAATGAAAGAGAACTAACAAAAAAGGCAGAAACAGAATGAAGGACAAAGCACACAAATAAAGACAAGCAATGAAATATCTAAAAAAAAAAAAGAAATACAAAGATTAAACTAAACTATATAAAATAAAAATGAACAAATGAGAGTGAACAACAGAATAGATGATGATAAATCAAATAAAAACTAAAGAAATACAGAACTACAACAGAGACAATGAACAGAACTACAGAAGCAAAAAAAAATACAGACAAAAAATATGAGCACAGATTGATTGATTGAATGAATGAATTAACAATGAGAAACATAACTAACAAACAATACAGTGAAAACAAACTAAAGAAAGAGGGGAGATTAACTAAATGAACAACAGAACAATCAGAACAGAATGAAAGAACAAAAAAAAAAATCAAAAGAACAAACAAGCAATAAAGATCAAATAAATGAGGAAAAGAACCAAAAAAAAATCAAATGCAGGACAGTATGAAATAAAAATGGAAAAGAACGAAAGAAAAGAAAAGAAAAAGTGTATTTAATTTGGCTTCTCGAAGCACCAGTACACACTCACACTATTAGGTCAGTGGGTGCATTCAGCAGTTAAAATAAAGGAGCTGTGATAGCAGCGAAGTGCCTCAATCCTCAGTCGTGTTCCTCAAGGCTATTCCCTGAGCAGTCCTGATGGCCACAGAGCTGTCAGCTATGATACACACATCACCTCAGCTCTCACTTCCACTGCAGAAAGAAGCCATCAAGACCTCCACCACGCCACTAAATTCACTTCTCACGAGTGTACACGGGCTTTCCTCACGGCTGTCAAAGAAAGGAGCAGGGGACATTGAGCAGTTCCTAGCTTTCGTGGAGCAGAGAGCAATGAACCATTTTCTTTTTTGTTTGTAAATGAGGGTGATTTGCCCATGACTCTTCCCACAGAGGTTTTAACAGTACAGGGATGTTTTAATAGCATCATCATTACGGTGACAAGAACTTTCTAGAGAAATAAATGTACATTTTTTAAGAAAAGACTAAAGTATTTTTTTTTTGCTTCAAGTGAATTGTCATTGATATTTCTAAATATTCTTTCAGTGAAGGAGAATGATTGTGACAGACCGAAGAGAACTTTGAAAGAACACCAAGTTTTGAAACCTTGCCTGGTCTTCTCCTAAAATACTTTCCTTTTTTTATATATATATATATATTTTTTTATAAATCTCACTGCCACAAGCTACACACAAATAGGCATACTGAACAAGACATGAAACTTTCTCTGAGTTGGATATACATGGGCGATAAACTGTATTCATCAAAAAAGACAGAATCACTGCTCTCAACCGTTTTTATTTTTTCTGTGTGTGTGTGTGGATCCCTAGAATAGAAACATTGTTGCTTTCAAAAACAAAAGACCTGTACTTGCTTGTCTTTCTTTTTAAATTATTTTTAAAAAATTACTATACAACAAAGCACGTCTGAATCATTCAATTCAAACATTATTTCAATAAGCCTTCATCAATGAATCATACAATACTTTCCCCAGATATCTTTAAAAGTGTGTGAGTCCAATAATCTAATCTAATCACAATATAGGCAAAAGCTCCCTTCAAAAATCGACAGCAAAAAAAAAAGTGCAATCTATATTATTTCGCTATACGTTGCATATTTATTCAGGCCACAAAAACAAATCGGTTACTGAAAAAGTCAGTAATGTACATATAATATATTAATAATATATTCGTTCTAAATCATCTGTTTTTATGGAACAGCCGGGGTCGTAGCGGTAAAGATGTGGCGCTGCACAGCGTTTCTCAGTGTGCCCCCACTTTAAAATGTCATTAAAGTGATGGAGCACAATTTATAAAATCATAACCCGTCAAATTGACTAGATATGTTGGATTTTCACCCACATTGAAAATTGGTTGGCAGGTGTTTCAAATAAGCAAGGGATGGTATAATCTCCTTTAGTTATAATTAAAAAAAAAAATGACCATAAATGTTTCATTTATCAGCAACAGCCCAACTTATTTTGACTATACATACATCTCTGGTATGCAAAGACATAATATGGACAAATTGCTGGCAGCGACAGCAGTCAATATACATGTGTCAATAGCAATATCCTGCCTGCCTCCCGTGCCCACCCAGGGGTCCGCTCCTGTCCTTTAAGTGCCCTTTCAGTGTCACTGTTGCACATAATAATGACTTAACTCTCTTACCACACAATTTAGGGCAGGCCTCCATCAATTAACCCAAGAGGCTTTTAGTCCAACAGCGCAGAGGTCACAGACAGCACGCTACACTCGAGGGGTCCCAAATATCCCTCTTGTGATGCCTCCCTGGGGGGGAGGGGGGTGTAAATAAATGAATAAGCTTATGGCTACGTTGTCCTTTTACACCCGGCTGTGGTTACAAGAGGTAAAAATGATATAAATACTGTTCGTTTTCTAACACAACCCACTCGTTTCGTGTCTTATGCCATGAATGTGTACTTATATTTATGAGTCATTTAATCATGTTTAATCTGGACTTCTTTGTGCATGCTCTTTGAGGTGGTGACCATAGACCTGCATTATATGACTGACAGACAAGAACGGTTTGACCTAAAAATATCAAAATTGAAAATACTGCGGAAACAAAGACACCTACATCTTGGATGCTCTTGAGGTAAGCTAAAACATTCCAAAAATGAATTTCAAAGTGAACTATCCCTTTAATTACCTACATAACTAGACAAAATGCAAAAAAGGCTTCATGCAGGTAGGAAAGCTTATTTTAAGAACAACTTCATGCATACTTGTTTCTAACATAGTCCCTATACCTGCTGTTGAGCATTTGAGGTATGGATATATGAACTGTGTAATGAGCTCATGTCTGTCGGAGCAAAAGGTGTGACATTATTTTTAAAAAAGGGCTGACACTGGAGGACTCAAAGCTGCAAACATATCCCATAAGCCTCAGCATCGCTCTATATAAGGGCCTCTCGCTTTCCTGAGCTGAGAGGATCAAAAGATTAAAGAGCTTCAGCTTGGTGTCAGATTAAACAGGACCGATATTCTCACAAACGCAGGCCAATATATTTACTACGCTAATGTAAGGGAATAAAGCTAAGGGAAAATGACCACTTCCTGATATTCAATGAAAGAGTGTCCACATGTATTTGAAGACAAGTCCTACAGGTCTTCAAATAGCTCTGTACTCACGTTCTCAATGGAGCGGTTTGCAATTCCAAGTCTTTCAAAATGAGAAAAACAAGCAGAAAATCATATTAGAAGAACTTTGGCACTACAGTTACAGAAAGTTGTCACTGTGTAACTGTGCTCCAGTTGCTCAACAGGTAGATTATATAGCAACACCAGGTTGTATATTCTCAGACC